GGTTCTTCAACTCTTCAAGAGAATAATCATAAAAGATTTATAAATAATCCCATTTCTGTGGAACACTGAATCTGAGAGGAGAAAGCAGCCTTTAGAAGCAAGCTATCCTAGCACTGTGGATAGATGTCATTCTTACTGCCAGAAAGATTGGGCAAGATAACATATGGAATCATTAAAGAGAGAAAGTGAATTTGTGCCTCCACTAAAAAGGTTTATAGAGTAGTACTGACTATAGATTTTCCTTCCTGTCTTTGATTGGTAGGAGTGGGTATGTAGAGAAGTACAATGTATCAAGCTTCTTAGGATTGATTAAAGAGGCAGAAATACTATGAATGATATAAGGTTTATTATAGGTATGAGACCTTAGGTCAGCAGGGCTAACAGCCAGGAAGAAAACATGGATGTGAAGTGACAGAAAGTAAGAATTAAACAGGAGCCAGGATGGACTGGAATACACAAGGACAGCCTAGAGTCTATTTCTGTCCTTCATAATTTCAAACCTTGACAATGCCGGTGATTTTCAAAAGGAGCTGGTACCATTTACCATAGAGCTGCACAATGTACCTAGTCTAGGACTTGGAGAAAGAGAAAGAAGGGATTTAAACAGCAGATGATGCCCCAAGCCAATGAGGTGAACCTGCAATCAATGGTAAGGAGCATGAGCTGCAGCAGTACCAGATTCTCTACGCTGACCTTCAGAGAATGGTTGCTGCTTCATTTCTGCCTTCTGGCATCACAAAACTATATTTTGTGGCCAGCCTAGCCAGGAACCACAGAGGGAAGGGAAGTCTGGGTAACATGGTTCCAGCTTGGTCAAGATGACATAGTACAAAGCCCCTATGGCATTAAACACATCTAAGAAGTCTTGGCTGAACTAAATGGAGATTAGTGGCTCCTCTAAGTAAAAGTCCATTATCTCACCTATTTTCTCTATCACATATCTAATTATCTTTCTAATTTAGCTATTCCAAGGGGCGAAATTTATTCCCTTTCCCTCATACTTGTATCCCTTGAATGGTTATGTGTCTATTAATCACATTCATCTTTATCCAACTTATTTCACCAATTAGGACTGAGACAGGAAGTAATATTCTTACAGAAAGATGCTCATTCCAACTCATCATTGCTAGTAACATAACTGGACACTTGGGCTATTTGTTCCATGTGAACTTACTTTCTCTAGTTGCTGAAAACAAAAGTAGTCGATGATATTTCCTAAAAAGGAGATTAGTTTATTTTAAAACACTGAAGACATAATACTGGTTTGTGTTGGTCATATGTTACAGAACAAGACACGTCTGGGTCAAAGGCCAGACAAGGAACAATAAGCAGAAGGCATTTCTCTTTTATGTGACTTCCTTTGTGACAATTTGGTAAAATCCCACTTCATCCTCTACTGCAGTTTTAAATCTAACACAGGAAGGTGACAGGAAAACTCCTGGGGGTGTTTTGAAAATTGTATCAGAATGAATTATAAACTGGAATTGACTAAGATCAATGTTAATTGGATTTGGTAGAATGTGGCTGTCATCTATGATTCATTTTATGTTTATTCAAAGACCCATTCTGGCTGATGTAGAAAAACCTGAAGTCAATTATATTTTTACATAACTGGGTCTGTGGCTATAAGATTTATGCTTGTTTTACAAGGAATTGTCTAGGGGTGTTTTGTTTTTACCAACATAGAGCTAATTAGGTGGGTGTAACTCTAGTTGAAAAGCCTCAGATGTACATGAGTGGGTGCCAGGCAGCCAAGGGGAGCAGAGAAAAGCTGACTTTGTTTATACAACTATCTGCAGAGAAGCAAAATGGAGGGAGCTTTCTAAAGCCAAGGTCAGTACATTCATAAGTCATGATGAGAACATTCTCTGGTCTTTCCTGGAACTTGTTCCAATTACTCTTCTCCAATTATCATCACCTCCAACCCCCCAGTGCCTTTTAGTGTATGGTAAGTATTAAGAGGCATGTTTTTATTCTTTATGTGCCAGGTACTATAGAAGCATTTTATGTTATCACATTCTTATAAAAAATCTGTAAGGGGCTGCCATTAGTTTCATTTTCAAGAGGAAACTGAGGCTTACATTATACAACATGTCTGGTCTGACAGATACTGTTTCGGGTCCATCTCTGCTCTTTGATTTCAGAGCAGAGGTTCTTAGCCACCTGTTAAGAACATAAAATCACAACAATGCTCCTTCACTTATGAAACTTAGTTTGGCTGGATGCAGCTGGAAACCATCATTCTTAGCAAACTATCACAAGAACAGAAAACCAAACACCGCATGTTCTCACTCATAGGTGGGAACTGAACAATGAGATCACTTGGACTCAGGAAGGGGAACATCACACACCAGGGCCTATCATGGGGAGGGGGAGGGGGGAGGGATTGCACTGGGAGTTATACCTGATGTAAATGACGAGTTGATGGGTGCAGCACACCAACATGGCACAAGTATACATATGTAACAAACCTGCACGTTATGCACATGTACCCTACAACTTAAAGTATAATAATAATAAATAAATTAAAAAAAAAATCACAACAATGCCTCCTCTCTCAACTGTCTCCCAATCTTTACTTTTTCCGTGAAGACCTGTAGACTCAAAAGAGGCTGATGGTAGTGTATTTTATTCCCACTTTAAGTGCTAGTGATGGGAAAGAAACATTTGTGTGACAGGGAAATGTGACATTGGCTTTGAATAAGAGATTCAATTGTTGGACTTATTTGTCTTATCTTCATAATATGCATTCTCCAGTGTATATTCCCTTCCATCCTGTTTGGAGATAACACCTTCAGCATGAAAAGGCCTACCCATGATTACTGCTGACAGTGGGACTAAATGCTGTAATGTGCTTCAGCTCATACCCCAAGTATAATAGAACTTGTCATGAGTGGTTGTCCCTGGGTGGAATAGTAGCATACGCACAAGTGATATTCTCCTTATCTGCTATCATTCAACACCATGTGAAGACACTAGAGATGATTGGTGTTTGGTCTTGGTCTATGGTAGACCCAGCAGACCACCCAGGGAAAAATACTTTGGTATGGGGTTTCTAAGGTTATTCTTTCAGAAAGTTCTTAGTGTAATACGAATCCTACTAGTTTGAATTAAGACCAGGTTTTAAGAGCCCTCATGCTATATGCACACTCTGCTTTACATGGTATAAAAAGATTTTAGGCATTATGCCAAGGAGATATCCTGTGACAAAAGTTCCTGGTCACTTTCCTCAGCACTAGTGCTATTGCTGGACTTGAATATCATCTTCTCCAATGCCTGGGCTTATGATTAGGAGATCATCTATAAACTAAGTTTCTGGCTCAGACTTTTATTTGGAGTTGAGGAAAAGATACTAATCAGTAGATTACATTTGGCACTAAAATTATGTTCATAGAAGCCTATCTTCTCTCAATATTAGATTCAGACATTGGACTGCAGAGACCTTGAAAAAGATAGAGGAATGACCACCTCTTATGTCAAGACAATAGAGAAAATTAAAATGTGACTCAACTTGGTCCTGGAGTTAGGCATAGATTGAGGACATAGAAATTTAGAACTAGTCAGGGGTTCAGGGGTTTAGACTAAACTTTAGAAAAGAGCTCATGCATTTACAGTTTCCTACATTTTTGGCAGGGGTAGAGGTGGGGGTCGTGGGAGTGATATTAAGTTTATATGCTAGCTGCGGTTTGATTACTGGCTTCTTTAGAATTTTGTCTTTAAAAACACTAAAGCAACTTATTTTTAACCTACAATCGGTCACTTTAGCCTTCTTAGATGTTATTGTTTGTAAATGTAGTTAAATGATTTAAAATTGGAAACATCTGAGAACTAAAATGTACATAATCATAATTCTGGATCACTAGGATTGGGAGTGACTGCTTCATTCTACTTGTCCGCTTGTCATGCATTGCCACAAAATTCCTGCAGGTTTCTGGCCTGAAGTAGGCCTCATTACAGAACCTTTGTGATCAGTGAATAATGAAAGTGGTCAAATCATAATTCAGAAGTAGCAACAAGAATTATCCAGTGAGATCTGGAAGCATTTCAAAGTTTACAAGCACCACAGGACTTCCATCTATTCTCATCACCTTTGGCTTATCAGCTACCCCAACCCCCTTCACAATCCCATTACCTTCTTCCCTCTATGCCATTTCGTTATTTTGGTGTGGCTCCTGTCTACCAGATATGCCAATCTCAGGGCCTCTGAAATGGAATCTTCTAATGCCCTTCTCTGTCTACTCTTCCCTGCTCTCAGCTAACCCTATTATTAGGAGATAAAGAATATTGCAAACTCATCTGTCTAAATAGGGCAAGACTTGGTTTGAGGATTTTAATTCCTGCGGGTGGTAAGGTCTCATTCCAAGTCCTATTAAGATTTCTCATACTTATATTATTTTTGTGCTCAACTGAAGGCCTTTTCTGGGGCAAGCCAAAAGGTTGGAAAAGCTTGTCAACAGTTGAGATTTTCCAGAACTTTACTAACAGAATTTGTAAACTGCCCAAGATGTTAGAACATAATTCTGCCTTCTAGAAATTCTGCTTTATAACATTCTACAAAGAGGAATGAAGTTTTATACCAAAAAAGTAAAGGATAAAAATTATCTTATTTTCTGTGGCCTGTATGCTTATGTTGCTTAATTTTATAGTTAAACAGGGAATTGTAGTACAAAACTCATGCCATGATTTTCTTCACTTTCAGATATTAGGTCTATACTGTATAGAAAATCCATGATCAAACGGAATAGACTTTAGGATTGCTCTTAGACTCTTATCCTCAAAGTTCAGGTAGGACCCAGACATTTCATGGGATTCCCCAGTTAGAGCTTTGTCCTGTCATGACTAAGTATTATATGCCCCATAAGAAAAGATAACTATTGAGTACTGAGTTTAATACCTATGTGATGAAATAATCTGTACAACATATCCCTGTGACATGAGTTTACCTATGTAACAAACCTTTACATGTATTCCTGAACCTAAAATAAAAAGATATAGAACAGTCACCTGGTTTGAGTCCTTGCCTTAATATGGAGAAGAGTCTCTCGGATCTGCTTGGTGCGGACAGCATAGACAATTGGGTTGAGGATAGGTGGGATGAGGAGGTAAAGGTTGGCCAAAAGGATATGGATATGGGGAGGCACACGATGGCCAAAGCGGTGTGTGAGAGAGGAAACAGCAATGGGGATGTAGAAGACGAGGATGGCACAGATGTGAGAGCCACATGTCCCTAAGGTTTTAAGCCTGGCTTCAGAGGTGGCCAAGCCCATTACAGCCCTGAAAATCATCACATAGGAGGCAGTGATGGCCAATGAATCCAGGATTAATACCAGGAAGCCAATCCCCATTCCATATAAGTTGTTGACCCTTGTGTCACCACATGCCAAGGCGACCACAGCCATGTGCTCACAGTAGGAATGGGCAATGATTTGGGTCTGGTAAAGGGGTAACCTCAGGTGAATCATTAGGGGCAGAGGTCCAATGTAGATTACCCCCCGGAGGAGGGCAGCCAGTCCCAAACGACCTGCCACAGCATGAGTGAGCAACGAGGTATGGTGCAGTGGGTCACAGATGGCCACATAGCGATCAAAAGCCATGGCAAGGAAGATGCCTGACTCAACAGTGGCAAAGCAATGAATGAAGAACATCTGGGCCAAACAGGCATTCACACCAATGTTATGGGCACCAAACCAGAAGATGGCTAGTAGTTTGGGCATGGTAGAGGTTGACAGGACCAAGTCTATGACAGCCAACATGCACAGGAAAAAGTACATGGGCTGGTGCAGGCTGTGCTCCATCCTTACCACTGCCAGGATGGTCATGTTCCCCAGCACAGCTACCAGGTACATGGAGCCAAAGGGGATGGAGAGCCAGATGTGCAGGGATTCCAGGCCAGGGATGCCAGTGAGCTGGAAAGAGGTAGGCACAGAGCAGGCATTATTAGGGGTTAACATATTCAGGGACCTGGGGATCCAGGAGACAGGAGCTCTTAGTTTCAGATTTTTGCTCTTGTGAGTGATACTGCTTCTGGGAACTCTAGACTAGATTCTCATTTCCTTCCAGGGTGACTGGTGGTGCCTATAATAAAGAAGAATTCTGAATGTCAACTTGAAAAAAAATCAGTTCATGTTTTATAAGATAAATTGTCCATAACAATACCTGCTATTAAGTGTAGAAATAGGCATGCTCATGATTTTTACTAAATCACCCTACCACACTGTAAAAATCTCCAACATTATGCATCCCTTTTAACTCATAATTTTACTCAAAGGAACTTTTTCTGAAGGAAACAAAATACAAAAGAGTTCTACGTGTAATAGTTAAACGTAAATCCATGTAATGTGTTTAGCCAGTGCCTGCATATGCTTCTCTTATCACTGATCAATAGCAACACTAATAAAAAACATACTGATTAGATGTTTGCAACAAATTTTTTACTAATGTCAAGTTGGAATAATGTGCCCACAAATAAAGCATTGTTTAAATTCTACTACATCCATTCAGTGAATTAGATTATATTGATATTTTAAAAGATAAGCACTTCCTGGTATAATGTTCACATCATAGTACAATATGTCAGGGAATAGCAGGAGGCAGATTAAACTATGGTTTAATTGTATTAAAGTGTATGCATGTGAGAGAGAAACACACACCCTTAAATAGAAAACTGTCTAGGAAGATTTGGACCCAGCTTTTGTCTGTTGATTTTGGGTAGATGAGATTTGTGCTTTTTTATATTATGCCTTCAAAAATGATCAAGAGCTTTTAAAATAAGGTTATAAAAATATCAAAACCTGCTAAAAATGTAAAGAGAAAATGTGCTATGGTAAATGTACTAAGGAAGCACATTACCTTTTCTCTGAATGGGTTTAACATTAGTTTGTTCAGATTGTCAAATCTAGTTGATCAAAGATATTTAGCACAGGACCCACTTTTTTTGAGAAAGTCTTGCTCTGTCACCAGGCCAGAGTGCAGTAGTGCAATCTTGGCTCACTGCAACCTCCGCCTCCCGGGTTCAAGTTATTCTCCTGCCTCAGCCTCCCACGTAGCTGGGGCTACAGGTATGTGCCACCACACCCAGCTAACTTTTATATTTTCAGTAGAGATGGGGTTTCACCATGTTGGCCAAGATGGTCTTGATCTCTTGACCTCATGATCCACTCACACTTAAAGTTGCCCAGACTTGATGGTTAAACAAAATGAAAACGGATATGAGTTTTTAAGAAATGTTTACTCTAAGGACAGGATCTGTTTACTCTAAGGACAGGATCTATAAGTTTTCCTGGCCAGAATCTTAATATCACCTATAATTTGAGATAAAAAAGAAATATATCTTTGGGCAACTTTTACTAGATATTTTGTACATCTAATAGGGATTAAAAGAGAATGGACTGATATGACAGTCAGCAAGACCCTTCTGCCCGACCACATCCTTCTTGGCCTCCTTGTGAGGAGACAGGAAGATCAGTTTATAAAAACCCTTGTCTATTTTTTGCCCTCTGTCCTTCAGATGCTTCTAAAAGTCTAGCAAGGAATCCTATTGTTCACATCCTGAAGGTTCAGAATCAGGGTCTGACATGTCCTCTGTCTCAGGCCTGCCCTCCTGACCATTCTTACCATTAGTCAGCAAGTCCCATGACACCACACATTTTTGCTAAGTTTCACTACCTCTTTGGTTTTTACCTAGGGAAATTTTATATCCCTCGAGGACTTTAACCCGGATCACCCTTCTTTGGTATCTCTAGTCTATACCAAAGTGGGTGGGTAAGGGGGAAGAGACGCCATAGTTGCCACATTCCCCCAAATTTTCTCAAACAAGCACATGCACATTTCAATTTATCTAAAATTTAAATAGCAGTTACACTTCCATAGCAAATAAGCACAAGAAACTTTCCTGTGCAGAGTCATGGCTCCTTAATTCAGGCTCCGACATTCAGTTTATGCTTTTATGAGTTAACATTTGGTCAGGCATTGACTGAGTGCTAAATAGAAATATGAAAATTTTGTGAACTTAATGGTTGATGAGTTTTTCCATATTAACTGATTCTTTAGTGACTCTAATTCTTCAATAAGTAAATAAGTTATAATTCATATACAGTCATTTCTTTTGGATTCATTGGGTAAGTTGGGAAAGGAAAGGAGGTCCTGGAAGGCAGTCCCACACAGCTGCTCAGGACACTGACTTGCTACTAACAAGCCAGATTTCCCTTCCAGACCTTCATCTTACCCTGGGCAAACTGCTTAACCTATTGCCTCCCTTTTATTTATATGTGAAGTGGGGAGAATATTGCAAAGGATAAGTATATAGAACTAATGAGATGAGTGTGAAGCTCTTGGCACATGACAGCACCTGCCCTTCCCTGAATTCTTGTTGTTTAATATGGGAATATATTAGAGCGATTTCCTTGTGTTTCTGTTACATAGGACATCTTAGATTTAGGAGGTGTTGTAAAAGTATAGGAACTGTATGAATGGAACAGGGATCCAAGATGAACATTAGTCAATGTGCAATTTTATATATAAAAGGAGAATCCCTAACATCTTCTCGAAAATTGTAGTGGACCATCATCCTAAAGCAGAAAGGAATCCAATTGCTCAATGTGAGGGTAAGTCAACAGTGGCTACTCATCACAAAAAGTGTCCAGAGAAAGCTGGGACAAGAGAAAGTTGAACATATTGTTATTGTGTGCATACATATACATATACATATACCCTATTGGCATCTTAAATGGTGATCTGAACTAGGTTGTGGCACCTAGAGCACCCCAGAGAAATATTTTCTGTGTCAGCCCACTTGAAGGCATCCTTACCTGGACACTGGTAACATGCCCACAAACCCTGGGAGAGGCATTTTGATGGTGAGTCCAAGGATATTGAAAGATTGTTGTGGTGACAAGCATGGATTAGATTAAGTTCAAATACTAACTCTACTGTTTCTGGCTCTGTGACATTAGACAATATAAAGTGTTTATTTTGTTTTCTGGTCTGTAGAATTCAGGGGAGCAATAGCTACCTTGGAGTTCCTTCATGTATTAAGTGAGCTGTTTGTAAATGTGTGTGTGTATATACAGAGAAAGCCAAGGTTTACGATGCCTGGCCTCTGAATGGGTGCTGTGTTCTTTTTACCTGCTCTTCCTCCCTGTTCTTTGACCCATTCCACAGGATTCAGACAGAGTGCTATTTCATATGACCTTTGACTTTATTTTTTCCCATGGTGTGGTTAGCCTCTTTAATGTGGATATAATCAATTGAAGAGACCTGCCAATAGTGTGAGAATAAAGTCAGCAGAGAAGGCTGCCTTACTGTGAAGCAGAAGACAAGAAGACTGATCAGGCTGGAATAGTCCAATCTTTTCTCTCCTGTTCTGAAGAAATACTAGGCAACCAAGCCTTCCACCTTGGGGCTCCTCTTCTCCTTTGATTCAATCTCAGGCAGTTTATACTCAACTTATTTTCTCTACTTTTGACTAGATCTGTGAGAAAGGACCTAGATGGACCAAAAAGCAAATATAGTTTCTGAAACTTTGAGATTGCTTCCAATAACTTTGGCCCCTTCTCTGGAATGTACTTACTTACTGTGGTATTGTCTGTAGAGCTCTGGGTTCTGTTTCTTAACAGTGGTCATCTCTGGTGTGGATGCTGGAACAAATTTGACTGTCAAGGGGAGGCAATGCCACTGATCTCTTCAATTTCTTCTGTGCTTTTTTTTTTTTTTTTTTTTTTGGTTAGAAAACAGCCAATTACTTCCCAAGGGTGGCACAGAGAAGCCTGCACACTTCCATTTGGACATTTAGTTACCCTCTTGGGAACAGTCTCCACTACACCCATCACATTCTACCTCTAAGGACCGGAATACAGACTTATTCCCACCTCCCCGCTTCTGGGCTCTTGGCTGGCCCCAGGTCTCTGACAATCCTCCCCTGGGCCAGAGGTACTCAAGGATGCCAAGAGGGATACTGAAGAGAGGTTACAAAAAAAGGGTGCGAAAAACCCCTTGGGTATTGGCCTAACCAATATAAACACTTTTCTTTGGTTAATCATTGCTATTATAAAAAAATCTTAATATAAAAATCTAGGCTATACAAAGAAAATCACTTAAATACAAATGTTGTTCACATTGTAAATTTGCATTCTACTACTTTTTTCAAGTTGTTTTTGCTTAAAAATTTGTATAATCACAAGTTGAAATAGTTTATGTCCATTTTTGTGGTTATTTTACCTACACCTCCTAGTCTATCATTGATGGGCATTTGGGTTGGATCATGTCTTTGCTATTTTAGATAGTGCTGCAAATAGATTTATATTCCTATGGGTATATACCTAGTAATGGGATTCCTGGGTCAAAAGGTATTTCTGGTTGTAGATCCTTGAGGAATTGCCACAGTGTCATCCACAATGGTTGAACTAATTTACGTTCCCACTAACAGTGTAAAAGTGTTCCTATTTCTCCACAGCCTTGTCAACAGCTATTGTCTCTTGACTTTAAAACTGTCTCTTCATGTCTTTGCCTATTTTGTTTAATTTTACTTTAAGTTCCAGGATACAAGTGCAAAATGTATAGGATTGTTACATAGGTATACATGTGCCATGGTGGTTTGCTGCACCCTATCCACCCATCATCTAGGTTTTCAGCCCTGCATGTATTAGCTGTTTGTCCTAGTTGTCTCCCTCTCCTCACCCCCCAACCTCCAACTGGTCCTGGTGTGTGTTCTTCCCCTCCCGGTGTCCATGTGTTCTCATTGTTCAACTCCTACTTATGAGTAGATCATGAGGTACTTTTCTGTTCCTGTGTTAGTTTGCTGAGGATGATGCTTCCAGCTTCATCCATGTCCCTGCAAGGACATGATCTCATTCCTTTTATGGCTGCATAGTATTCCATGGTGTACATGTACCACATTTTCTTTATTCAGTCTATCATTCTTAATTTTTAAAACATCCCACAGAAACACCAACAT